AAAAAGCCTATGTCAGGATGCGTATGGCACTCTCAGAAAAGATGGTCAGGCGGCAAGCAGTGGAGTGGTGAGAAATTGTTTGGAAAATTTGCTATGGGAATTTTATGAATCTTATCTGAAGTGTAGTTTACTGGAGGATGAAATCAAAGCATATTCTAGAGTGCTAAAAATCTGTTACCAACATGGATATAAGAAAGTATGGGCAGAATTTGATACCAAAACACAGAAACAAAGTACCGTGGCAAGTACAATTTGACCTAGAGTACATTTATCAGATGCAATATCGATTAGGAATCAAAATCACACACATATGGTTGCTGATTGGATTGCTAATGTTACATAATTTTAAAGGAAAAGTGAAAGGCCTGATCACTTTGGTAAATGGTCTATGGCCTCAATAAGAATGATAAAAGGTTGACACAGGAGCTGTTTGGGATGATGGAGTCGAAAAGAATGAGACCTTATTGCGATTGTGCAAGGAGTCTCGGCACAAAGCTGGCTGCAAAAGAGATTATTATATGTTGTAAATGGAGTAATACTCTCAATTGCATATATATAGGTAGGGCACTGCTTGTATCAGTAGTTGTACTCGTTTTTCCTTTATGTTTAATCATTTACGAGGTAAGGAACATACTTCTCCCTCCGTCTTGTAACATCTTTTGTCATCAATATAAAGATCATCTCAGGCTTGGATTTTGAAGCTGAGATATTTTGCCCAAAAAACAATAACATCATTTTCTTAAAATAAAATTAATATGTAAAACCCACCTTTTCTCTTAATTCTTTGTTTTGTTTTGCTAGGATTTTCTCCTGCATTATCAAAGAAAAATGTTCAAAATAACAAGCACCGAAAAAACAATCTGTATACATATAATTGAGCATTTTATAAATGAAAATTCTTGATATATATAGACGTAAATTACCTGTTCTTTCAGCCGATCAATCTGCTCTTTAAATAACAAATTCTGGGAATTTTCAAATAACAGGCTTAGTCAAGCTTATTTTTTATGTTGGCAGTTTTCTTTATGGACTGGACAAAATGTGATACCATACCTTTCTTGCCCTAATGCTGATTAAACTTCGTTCCAACTGTTCTTCGACCTGTTGTAATTCATCTATGGAACAAGTATCCAAACCATCTCCCAGAAGCTTTCTGTCATGAGTCCAAGAATCCCAGAAAATGACTCAAGTCATTTACTTTTAGTTACTTCTAAGACTATTTTTTGTTTACAAACATGGTTGATAATATACTTATGAAAAAAGTCACTTATATTCAAAACAATCAATACCTTATAGTAATTGAATTATTAACTTAAATAGTTTCCAGGTTTAGCTAATTATTTGAAAACCTAGTGACACGTACACTTTTTGGGTTTAGCCAACACGCTATGAGTATCTTTTTTGCTTAACAATTATCAGCTTATAAGGAAAGAATCAGGTTAGGAGAAGAACCTCTTTGAATCCTCAAGGAGCTCGATCTTTGTCCTCAGTTCTGCAGTCTCACATTTCAAATTCTGCCATGGAATTTAGTAAATAAAAGTTAGAGCCAAACTGAAGAGGCCATGATTCATGTTAATTATGATGGTTTCTAAAGAAAAATCTTTTGAAACTCAAGAACATAGAAGACTTTAAAAGATAGTCTAGACAGTTGTAAACCTTGATCATTAATTTAATCTATATAAAACAACTGAGATCAGCATGAGTTGTAAAAGTTATTTAACAATATTCAATAATGTATACTTCACGATCTAAATTAAGAAATTAAACCGGGTATGAATGCAATCATATGTTCTAAAAACTTTTGGCTGCAGATATCAGAATCCATTTAGATACCCCCGTCACGTTCTTTTCTTCACAATCCTTCCTCTCATTTCGTGAATAAATTTACTGATGGGTTGTATGAAAAATCTCAAGCGTTTAAAATAACCCCTCCTTTGGTATCAAAATAAGTTATTATTTTTGTTAGGTTTTAATGTGTATTGGCTATTCTTTAGACAAAAGGAATATTATAAAAAATTTGTAAAAGTCAATGAGTCTTTTGGGATGTTGTACAGATAGACTAAGAGTATTTGGATTCGAGCATGGAATATGGAGAAAGAGTCGCCAGAATTATGATAGCCTATCACCAAATTAATGCTCAAGTGTCCAAAACAGAATCATTGTCGCCCGCCCGTCGCCCCACATTCGCTCAAGCAACACACCTGAAGCTCGAGTGACAATGTTTTTTGAGAAATCCTAATTCGCGTTTTTTAAGAGTTCGATCTATCATATACTACACAAATACCTCTCTAATATAAATCCACAAACTCCACCTTGTGAAAACACGGGTTGATCATTAATTTTTGCCATCATAACATCCTTTTGAGATCAAAAAACAATTCTACATTTTGAGATTAACTAACCACAAGTTGGAAAAAAATCAAAATCAAAAAATCTAAAATATTCACTTCCTAAATATAATCAGAAATACATTTTCTCAATAACTTTAAGAGGTGGTTGAAAATTGAGGAATGTTGAACCAAAAGCACATAAAAAGTACAAGAACAAGGTTTTTTAGGTAATCCATAGGAATAGACAATTTCAGAAGATCGGGAGCAGATGTGAGTGAAGCGTACACGAATTAGATCAATGAGTCTAGTGAGTTTTCTTGGCTAGATCATATTGTAAGTTCTTATTGTCTATAGTGAAAGTCACTAGCTTGATCTTGGAGTTTTCAATCCATTGAAGAATTTTTTCCATCAATAAATCTTGTGTTACTTACTGCTTTATTGATTATTGTGGCAATTCAATATAAAATAAAATTTTGATTGACTAAACATCTAACACAATTAAAAGTGACTTATTATTTTTAATTGGTAATTTCAATTCTACGTTATTCACCTATTCACCCATCCTCTAGGTATTTTAGGGTCAAACTAGTAACTTTTAATTTGTATCAAAGCGCAAATTCGATTCATTACACTAGTTTTCTAGTTGAGAATTCATTGTCTCTCCCACCATATTTTGATGGCAGTATCTATTAAAAAGTTAGAATAAGAGCCTTCCTGAAATCGATGGATGAGGGCATTTGGCTGATCGTAGTCATTGGTTGAACCGTCCCTTCTAGCACTGTTGATGGTGTTGTCATCCTCACTCCTATAGCAAATTGGTCGAAGACAAATTTAGATGAATGTAATTGAAATAGTAAGACTTTACATGCTTTATTTATAGTTGTGTCACCAGACGAATTTAGGCACATGTCTATGTCTGAGGTGGTTAAAGAGGTATCAGATGTCTTACAGACCACACATGAGGAAACTCAATTTATTAAGAGCTCTAAGTTACTAATGTTGACCACTAGGTCTAAAGAGATTAAAATAAAAGATGTTGAGACCTTCGATGACTTCCATGTGAGCTTGAATAACATAGTTAATTCTAATTTCAACCTCTGTGAGAGAATTCTTGAGCCTAAGATTTTCTAAAAAATCCATAGAACCTTATATGAGAGATTTAGGCCTAAAATCACGGCTATCGAAGAGAACAAGGATTTAGATACGATTAAGATTGAAGAATTTGTTGGATCTCTCTAAACTTATGAATTCACCATGTCTCAACCTAAGAAGAACACGTCTATAACCTTAAACATTGTTAGGAAAGAAGAGTATGACTCTATTGATACAGAGATCATTAATGATGAGGAGATTGCCTATTTCGCTAAGAAATTTCGAAAAATGTTTAAAAATAAGAAGCTTCAAGAGAGACATAAAGGTGCTCTTAATGAGTCTAGAAAGAGATCTCAGTTTGTGAGATGTCATAAGGGTCAAGATTTTGGTCACCATAGGAGTAAGTGCCCTAACAGTAAGAGAAATCAGGGTAAAACAATGAATGTAACTCTAACTAATGACGAGTCCAGCTCGAATTATCAAAATGAGAGGTCCGTTCATGATAAAAGTGGGAAGTTTATGGTCTTCACTGCTGGAATTAGGGGTGAATCTGATAAGGATAGTGAAAAGGTGAAAAAGTCGAGGAAGCGATAGTGGTGAGCACTTTGATAGTGATGAGGAAAAGATTCGTAAGTCTTATTATCAATCATTAAAGGCTAAGGTTAAAACCCTAACGAGCGACCTTAAGAAATCTAGTACTCAACTCTGTTCCTTCTTGGGTAGATCTCAAAAAGTAGACAATCTTTTAGGGTTGAACCAACGTGCTGGGAAATGGAAGGTCTAGGATATAAGCAAACCAATCATAATAGGGTTAGTGCTTCCAAAATCATTTTTGTCCCTACTACCAACCAACCTAAACATGTTCCTAATCCTGAACTCAAATATAAGGATATCGTAGTACAGAGGCCTACTCGACAGCATAGGACTTACCAACCTAGGAATAGATATCAACGACCACATAACTTTGGACCTCGGTTTATACTTGTTTCAATTGTGGGAAGTTATAACATTTAAGACCAATGTGTCATAAACTCTTGAATAGAAATAGAAATCAGAATTTCATCTAGAAATAGAAAAAAAATGATTTTGATAGCCTGATTGACTTCCTCACTAATCAAGTGAGTCAATTGACTGAGTTAATGACCCAGTTGACTCAGAATAAGTCTTTCACTAGACAAGTCTGGATTAAGAAGAGTGATCTCTATGATCAAAGAGATGCTTTGACTGATGATGCTGGTTTTGTTGCTCTTTAAGGGGAGAGCAATTTTATGCCTCAGCGAGTTGGTATTTTTGGTGCATACTTGTGCTTATTCATTGTGCTTATTTATGTTAGCATGCATTTCGTTTTTATTTGCATTGGCACATGCACATTTTTTTGTTTTAAGTGTTACATATTTTTTTATTTTTTATTTTGTATGTTTGGTGCATTCATGTTTAAAAATAAAAAAATAAAACAAAAATAAAAAAAATTTTGATATTACAAAATGATACGAGTTACTTGAACATGTGTGTTGTGACCAAGTATGAGTTTAACTGATGTGTTGTAGCATACTTTTCATTAATTCTTAGATTTTTATAGAGTACTTAGTGTAAGTTTCTTCATATACCATCTGTACTACCCACACTACGATATTATAAGTTGGACTTGGCTGCGTTTGTGAGATTTGAAATGGCAATCATACGTTGGTAAGGTGAATTTGAACAAGAATTGACCTTATTCTAGTAGACTTAAGCCCAAGTTTATTCCGTTACAAGAAAAAGTTTAATATCTTATACTCTTCTTCGTAGCATGTTTGACTTGAGCAATTAAACCTGAAGGGTTTCTCATAACCTGGTGCCTATGATCATGACTTGGGTTAACCTGCCTAAAACTCATTACAAGTGTCATCTTAGTCACTTAATAAAGAAGAGATTGCACATAAGATGAGAAAAAAATTGAATAAAAAAAATTGATGAGCTTTAAAATTTAAAAAAAAAAAAATTATATACTCAAGTTCAGAGGGAGAAAAGAATAATATACTTAAAAATTAGCTTCTTATATAGGCTCCAGTATGCTATTATTACTTTGACTTTCATAAATGGAGGAATAAACTTATTGATAGTGATGTTTAATATGTTATTTCTCACAAAATTAAGGTTTAAAGTCCTGCTTACAAAGTTTAGTAGCACTTTGCACACATGGGTTACTTATATAATTTAATCCATTTTAACTTAAACTGAGTATATGAGAAAGTTTACTAATCATTGATTGTATTTTTACATGCTATCAGCTGCATTCTTGAGTTAATTGTGATAAAAGAAAAGCTGAGATAAAGATAAGATGACATTTTAGGGAGATTTCAAAGTAAGGGGAGATGATAGTATTTCATGACATACCATATCATTATGAATATTTAGATTCTTTTAATTTTGATGTTTTTGATATTAATGTTCCGGTTGATATTTTGATTATCATTAGAATTACTTAATTTTAACTAACATATTTATGATAGTACGTGTTAATTGTTATATTTCTTGCTTCGCATGTTTTTGTAATTGATATCTGAGTTGTTGATTTCAGGAAACAAGTTTAACAAATAATGCTAGAGACAAATATTGTCACAGAATGCTAAAGGAGGAGTGAGTTAGATTTTAATTTGTATTGGTCATTCTTTAGAAAAAATAATTATTATAAAAGAGTTGTAAAATTCAAAGTCATTTTGGATGGTGTATAGATGAACTAGGAGTCTTTGGGTTCGAGTATGAAAATGAAGAAATAGTCATTGAAATTATGCTAGCATGTCGCCAAACTGATACTCGAGTATCCAAAACAAATCATTGTCGCCTGACTGCAGCTAGAGTGACACCTGTCGTTCGCCTAGCGCTGAAACAATGGTGTTTTTCGAGAAACCTTAGTTCGCAATTTTCAAAAGGTCTATCTATTGTATACTGCCCAAATACCTATCTACCATAAGTGCACAAGCCCCACTTCGTTTGATCATTATTTTCTACTTTCATAACATCCTTTGGAGATCAAAAAATAATTCTACATCTTGAAATCAATCAACTACATGTTGGAAAAAAATCAAAATTACATATCCAAAACACCCACTTCCTAAATATAATCAGGAAAGTACTTTCTCAATAACTTTCAGATGTTGCTGAAAATTAAGGGAGGTTAAACCAGAAGTACATGAAGAATACAAGAACAAGATGTTTACGATGATCCACATGAGATATACAATTCTAGAAAATGGAGAGCGAGTGTAAGTAAAGCACGTTCCAGTGAGTTTGGGAGATAGCAGAAATTAGATTAGATAGTCAAGTGGGCTTTCTAGGCTAGTTCATACTGTAAGTGATGCAAGCTTTCGTAGCAATTGAAGCTACGAAACCCACGAGATTGAATCACAACCAAGAAAGTCAAGAGATCAAAATTTTGAGTTTGATTCAAGAATATTGAACCAAGTGACCCATAATTGCCGACAATCTGTTGACCCCTTGATCACAAGACTCGAAAACCTCACCCGGATTGTTTGAACACCATAAGAAAGTAATTCTTGATAAGTTCGAAATTGTTCAATGAAAAACAAAGATTGCTCACGAAATAATCTCTCAATTAATATGAATCAATCTTCTTTTACAATGTAAATAATGAGTCGTGTATAGAAAACCCATAAAACCTAATTAAAAACGGAATTAAAGTCTAAAGAATACAAAGTTACCATAAAAATAGAGTTTTGGTATAATTAAAAGATTGCGTGGAAATTGGAAATTCCGCCAATTTTTACTCTGTGCAGCCACATAGTGAAAATTTATGCTATCGCATAGAAGGCTCAAATTTCTGTGTCAGATCTCTGCAATGAGCTATACAATCGCATAGTTATATGGCTCAACTCCTCTGTCCGTCGCTTGAATGAAGTTGCTCCACTTTGTTTCTCCATCCAAGCTGAACATGAAATTTGTTCATTTGTCTATCACGATCAATGTTTCGTCCATTGTAGCTTACATAATTAATCTCATCGCTTCTTGGACCCTCTTTGCTCGCAACCGAGTCATTGGACCTTCTTCAACGATTAACGGATCTTTGCTCGAACTTGCATTCGTTGTCTTTGTTTTATAGATCACATCATTAAGTTCTTTTTGTCTATAGTGAAAGTCACTGACTTGGTCCCGAAGTTTTAAATCCTGTAAAGGATTTTCTCCATCAACAAAATCTTGTGTTATTTAATGCTTTATTTATTATTGCGGCAATTCAACATAGAATAAAATTGACTAAACATTTAGAATAATTAAAAAGTGATTTGTTACTTTTAATTGATAATTTAAATTCCATGTTATTCACCTATTCACCCCAGTTGATTTTAGGGTCGAACTATTAACTTTCATTCACATATTCAGGTCAGTTTCTCCTGTTCAGAAGCAGGTGCCAAACTAATTCACTCGATTAGTTGAGCAATTAAACTTATAATTCACATAGCCTAATTAATGTAGAGGCATAACAAGAAGACAGAGAGCATGCGTACAGTTGATTGCGTCTTATCGATCATGTAAAAGAAATAATTACCCGGACTGAGAAGAATCTGACCTCAATATTTTCTTCAGTTGTTTTTTGTGCAATTGCTCGGTTCTTGACGTTCTTCAGATACCGTTGTGTGATTTTGTTGACACTGTAACGAGGAAAATTGCAATCAAAGTAAACTTTAGGACGATAGGGAAAATGAAAATAAAATCATTATACATGCATAACTCTATTTCATTAATCGACATTCAATTATCATAGTAAATCTTGTCAATATAATTTGCGTGTTGTTTACCTAGTTTGCATTGTTTATCCCATCTTGAAAGAGAAGAATTAGCCTACTTTTTCTCTCCCTTAGCACTTTGATACTACCCTAGCTTTTAAGATAAACCAGGGCTATATTTCAGTATAAATGACTTTAAAGATTCTTCATAATCTTACTTGGGATACGTACTTCTGAGACTCTGTACGCTTTTTATATATTTTCTCATGTTATGTAGTTTCAGGGTAATTCGGTGTGTAAATACTTTATACTCTTTACATTCTTCACCATAGTTATTAGTGTACGTTATTCTTTTAACGACGACACTTCTTGTTGACATGTTACTTTGGTCGTACTACTACTCGTAAGCAACAACATTTCTGTGCTCTTTAGTCTGTTGATAAATGAGGTTTGTGTGTAGAATATTTTAGATAAAACAAATGACGGGAATTAAGGAATACTAATTCTATCCTGATTTTCAGATCATAAAGAACCTTACATCAATTTTACACTCAAATAAAGCATGCTTTCGAAGGAAAATTGTACGCTTAGTCGATACACTTAAATTTCATGAAGCCTAACCGAGAAATACACTTAAAGATTAATTTGACATTACACAAGGAGAGGGGAAGTAGAAGGGAGAAAGGTTTCAAGCCACCCCAGCAAGAATGCTTACTTTTATGAAACCCTTCTATTTTAAGAGATATATGCACAGAGATAGAAGAAGAATATGTCTCAGGAAACTGAAAATATTTAATTGGTGCTTGTTTGATAAAATTTTGACTTTTATCAACACTTCAACAATTAAACTTCAATTTTAACCACATATTAAATGGAATCCATAACTTCTATTAACTTTTCAACCAGATATTTCATCAACTTTTATCAAAATCTGCTAAATCTATTATCAAAAGATTTGTCAAACAACCCCTTAATTTCCAATGCATATATATATAATTTGAGAACATATCCAATAACACTGTCAAAATAACGAAGAGCTAAGTAATCGAATAGACTAGCAGAAAGAACATCTGGTCGATACACTTAAATTTCATGAAGCCTAATCGAGAAATACACTTAAAGATTAATTTGACATTACACAAGGAGAGGGGAAGTAGAAGGGAGAAAGGTTTCAAGCCACCCCAGCAAGAATGCTTACTTTTATGAAACCCTTCTATTTTAAGAGATATATGCACAGAGATAGAAGAAGAATGTGTCTCAGGAAACTGAAAATATTTAATTGGTGCTTGTTTGATAAAATTTTGACTTTTATCAACACTTCAACAATTAAACTTCAATTTTAACCACATATTAAATGGAATCCATAACTTCTATTAACTTTTCAACCAGATATTTCATCAACTTTTATCAAAATCTGCTAAATCTATTATCAAAAGATTTGTCAAACAACCCCTTAATTTCCAATGCATATATATATAATTTGAGAACATATCCAATAACACTGTCAAAATAACGAAGAGCTAAGTAATCGAATAGACTAGCAGAAAGAACATCTCTTCCCAATTATCCTCAAATAAAACATTTGCTCAAGGAAAGAAAATGCTTCACAATCATCCGCCATTGAAGTCCTTAACTGAGGAAAAGAACACTCAATCATATATGAATAAGCATCAACTCTTGTGATGAACAACTCTACTCAATAGTTCATAAAGCAAACTTGAAGTCCTCTTATCAAGTTTTGAGGCAACGACAACTCAAATCGTTACAACCATGGAAAAGTTCCGTTTCATAGAGTCTTTGTTTGAAAAAAAAAAAAAAAAAAAAAAAAATTACCCATTTTTTCTTTTCAATCTTTGTTCCATTTGTCAGTCAAAGGCACTTTGTGAGAGTGAATATGTGCGAACGCATGCATGTAGGATGCCTATTCTAATCAGAGAGTAGAAAATGATGAATTAGACTTATGTAACATTACTTTTTTTTCTTTATATCCAATTTGAAAAACACTAGTTTTCTCCCACAAACTCCAAAATCTCCCTAAAAACCCTGTTGAAAAGAATGGTATTTCATTCATTCATAGTATATTCAATACAAGAGGAGAGCTATATCTAATATACAGGAAACTATTTTAGGAAGAAAGAAACTAATTTATTTTAGGTTAAGATCTTTTATTCTCTACAATCACTGAACAAATAAAACTATATTTAGCAGCTAGAATGTTGATTGATTCCAAAAATCACTCCAAGAGCTTTTCTTGCAACAGCTCACATCAACAAACCCAACTTTCCATTTAATCATTTCTCCAATAGGCTAGTTTGATTTCTAGCAAAGTTTCCTAGACTGATAATAACCCAAGTCTTAACTTGTATTCATAAACTTGGTGTCATCATCGTTAAGAGAAAAATTGATTCATCTTAAAAAATGTTACTAATTAATCAAGAGCATTCTACGTGGCTTAACAATGATGAGCTTGTTACATCTTGATTTCAATTTAACAAATTAATCAAACTTGAACATCCACTGAAGACCAACTGAGACAAATTGTCAGCAATGGATAATTGCTATCCGATGTTGACAATGATTTGCAGGAGGACTTGGATCATAATACTAGGATTCAAAACTACTCTGCTATCAAAGCCTTCGCTTCTGAGAGTGCAAATCAGATAGCACTTACGAAAGAAAAGTTGCACAATTTGGCTGAAACAAAACGTTGACTATTGTATCTTAACCTAATACTGCAAATGTATTGATTCTAAATTGGTTTCCTGAACAAATCATCATGAAGATTGAAGAGCACAAAGGCTCAAAGTTCACCTTGTAACGATAGGATATACCCAAAGTTTTGACTTAAGTTATTGGAGAAACATTCAGTACAATTGTCTAGCCAAAAAAATATAAAAGGTATTTCATATGAAGTCCCTAGAACATTTTTATGGCGGTGATCAAACTTCTCATACACCTCAATCGTATAGTACTTTTCTTTTCTTGTAGCCACTTTCACTCTCCACAAAAATTATAAAAAAAAAAGAAATGTGAATATTTCAAAATCCTTTTTTCAGAGGCTCATTGTAACCATTTTATTAAATCCACAAATATATGACGAAACAAAAGCAGGTACACAAAAGAAAATGTATGTGCCACTTTTGTTGACCTAAAAGAAAATAAAGAGGATTGGGCCTTTTTCCTCATGAGTTGGACAAGCCCATCTAACATCAAGAACACACAAGATTATAAAGTTTCATCTCAATATGAGATTAAATCCTCTCCTGCCGCTGCAACAGTTCACTACAAAATAGTATAGATTAATTCTACTAATACAAGTGATTAATGATTCTTTTTCAAGATCCTGTGAAATGTAAATATCGTGAAGTGCCAATATTCTATGAATCATCTTTCAATATTCGTTTTCTCAAGTCTAGTTTAATTTCATATGATAAAGCCATTATTACCATATAGCTACTGAAGACCATCTTTGGTGAAGCCCTTTAGAATTTGGGGATTGGTAAAGTTTTCCAGCCTAGGAGCATTAGGAAGGATGAAGGGTAAGTGATTTTTTTTTTAATTATTTTTTTAAAATATATGAAATTGGGAGTAGCGTTTGTTTAGTGTAGATTAAAATCTACTAAAAATCTCAAGTAAAAGCCAACAATTAATTTTAACCTTACATGTAATTGGATCCACAACTTTCCAACCACACATCTTATCAACTTTTATTAGAATCTACCAAAATTTTGATTTTAATCTACACCAAACAGGGGAAATAGTAGGTCAAAATAACAAGGAGCTACGCAAACTAATAAAACAATGGAATTTGGACGTAAGACCTTCAATCCCAAAACCTAACTCAGTTCTTTGTTACATTATTCACAGCATCAATTGGCTTTTTTACTGGTACCTTTGTTGAAATTCAAGGATTTAGTTGTCCAACATAAATTCTTGTGAGATATTGTCGTATAAATAAACGAAAGTCAAACTTATATCAACGCGTTAGGAGTAATATAAGAGTTCTTTATTGAATATTAGATTCGTGTAGCAAGTGATTCATGTACTTTCTAAATACATGAATCATAGTAGTGAGAAGTAGTTAATAATGGATTAATAAATGTACTTGTTTAGATTCATGTTTCTTAAGAAACTGTAAAAATTAATTTGTTAAGAGAACAGGAAAAGGAATAGCACGGAATTCTTTCAAATTTATCAAGCAATTGAAATGCATGTCTATGAGAATAAAGAAGACCACAAAGTCAAAAGCAGCATGGGAAATTATTGCATTATTATTTATATGTAAAGAGCAAGGGAAGAAGGTATTTTTACAAACTTTGACAGATAGAAAAAATTATAGATGAAAGAGAATGAAACATTTCAAAAAAAAAATAATAATAATAATAATAATATAATAACTTACAAAAGTGAATTCAATTTTGGACTAAATAATATGGGCTTACGGATTTTGCTTATAGGCCCAAATCAATTAAAAGGCCCAACATGCCTAACATTTCTAGAAGCATTATCTAGAAAAATCTATATAAATATCTACTAGAAAAATCTATATAAATATCTAAGTAAGATATGTAAAGAATATCTAGAGAATTCTAGGAAAATATCTTGATGTGTGGTCTAGGTGTCTCTAGAAAATGTGTGGACTAGAATCTTCTTGTAAACAGTACATAAATGGGTAGTACCCTCCATTTCGTAACAAGCCAAAAAGTGTGTAAAGTCTTGAAATTGAGAAATACAAATTTCTTTTTTCACTTCCTTCTTCCTATTAGTGTTGTCCCCTTAAAAGCTTTAGTCAATCCAAGTTAGTAAACTCATCTTTCCTCGAACATCCTGAATATGCTATGTCTCATAAAATTTACGGATTAGATATTCAGCATTCGAAATTAAGCATGGCAATTGAGAACTTTTGAAGAAAACGTCCAAGCTTT